TAAGCTATAAGAAAATGCCAGTTGACAGCTTGTAACAAAAAATCCCATCAGAGATTACCTTTCAGAGTGTTGGCCGGTCGTCGATTACAGCGCTACACAGGATATGTCAAATTAGATTAGTTTAGGTTTCCTCGTGCAGTACACTGCACCAATAAGGAGTGGCCCTGACTACACACGCCTCCAGGAAGAACAGTTTAAAACTGACAGAACTATTCAATATAAGCAAAGTTATATTTCCTGCTGTAGTGAAACTGCACCATTAATTAAGAAATAACTCTGACTGTACACAGGCAGTTTAAACCTGATAGAACTATACATAAGTTAACCTATTAAGTACTGTTTAATAAACGAGCAGGAGTGTTTTAGGCTTTAGCGACCTTTAGCTATTAGATCTAATAAAACACGACCTGCGAGTTTATTAAACGGCTGCAAACACGACTACAAATGCAATAGATATACTGCCTTATTAGTATTCTTTATATAAAGAATACCACTAATGAGGACACAACTACAATACATACTGCCTTATTATTTTTTTTATATAAAGAATACTAATTAGGAGTGTTTTTTTTCAGGGCACGTGACATATTATGGTTGACATGATTTTCCAATAACGTTATGAATTATTAATGAGTGTTTGAAGGTAAGCGAAGGAAAGGTAAGCCAAGGAAAGGTACATTATTTTTATTACCTAGCAATTGCGGACCAATGGAACTCGGGTTTTTCTCGATGGCGTCGGCAGATAACATTAACGACTTTTGGAGAAGTTTGATTTCGTGCTGCAAGGGCGTATCCAGGAAACGAAAATCTGATATTACGGAGGGAAAATTCGTGTGTTTCACTTTTTGTTCGAGCCAGTGAAAGTCGAACAATAGTTGAATTAATTCACTATGTTGTTCGGAAGAGAATATGTGATAGGGTAGGTACTTGAAATAATAGTCTCTTTGGGATAGACTTGAAGTAGTAGTCCATTCACCATTCACGCATTGGCCACAAAGTATTTTCACGAACACGCGCTGGACATCAGCTAGTGTGCCAGTGGCTTGAAGTTTCTGCCGGGCAAAATCTAAGAGTAGATCATGGACACGGTAGCTTGTCTTTCCTTGGAGTTCAGGTCCTGAAAAAGGTCGACGGGGAGCGTTCATGTTAGTAACCCCATTGGTATTAGAGACGGACTATCAGTTTGGGGTCGGTTGTACAAAGGCCGGATAGCGTTATTCAACGGATAGTGATTGTTTCAAATTTTCTAAAAGTGTCTGTTCAATAGTATAATATCAAGATTAAATAAAGTTCAGTAATTATTAATTAAAAGAGTTTTTATAATTATTGTGAGGTCTATATCTGTAGCTTCACAGCTTTTTATGCACGTTTACGAAGGTTGAAGAATCACTATCAGGTGGATAACGCTATCCGGTCTTTGTGCAACCGGGCACTGGATATACTTGGACAAAAAAGAGATAGTTCGCATGATAATTTATCTGCGTATAAATGCAGAAAACAGACAAATCATCAGTGAAGATAAACTATCTATTTATTTATTCCACTCAGATAAGCTTCTGTGGTGCGTGAAGATCATCTTGACAAGTGTTTATACACAATGGTGTGTAAACAGTGTATTAAACAAAAAGTTACTATCGCAAGGAATTAAAAGTACTGCTTCAAACTCGACGCTCTCAAAAGATGGATGGGAAAAAGCCTGGGGACATATTGGACTATTTCGTGCTGTTTAAAATGCCGAAAACATCATGATTGAAGGAGCGCTGCTTTTCACTGGAATCTGCAAACAAAAACAAACAAATACATTTTCATGTAGTGTTCGTCAAGAAATACAATATATTCCAAATAAGTCAGATAGTCAGATAACGCGAGCGTACAATTTCCGTTTATTTTTCGGTTTATTATACGTCTGCTAATTGAATTTGCTAATTGCAAGTTCGCAACATTTTGACGTCCGTCTATAACTTTCGCCAATTGGAACAGACATACGGGACGCAAAATCAACATTGCGATAATATATCATAGAAATAGTAGATGCAATAAGCAATATATAGATCGCGCGAAAGACTGGGCCTAGTGAACTCTGGAGAAACGCAATCTGGTGCCCAGAGTCAACGATGATTTCTCTGGGTACAAGATTGGGAGAAACGTTGTCAGTGCCAAGAAAAGTCTGCTTGCTTGGCAGCAACTATTTATTTCGAAAAGTATTTCAAATATTTCAATTTATTCCGAAAATCATTTCCAGTATCGATCACGCTATTTTGGCTACTTCGTCTGGTCCATTGGTCTGGTCTACTAAGCAATGTGTGCCCGTCAGATGGACAGATCGTCACTTGTATTAATCGGGACAACGGTTAAAAAAATGCAGTTCTAAATTTGGAAAGTACGCTACTAAAAATACAGTATTTTTGTCCTAATGAAAACCGCAAACCTGAAATAAACTAGCATTTGGTTTATTTGGAAAATGTTAAATCTATCTTACCGAATGACAAATAATTTCTCGTGTGAATGTAAAATTTTAACTAAAAGTTTGAATTTAGTTTTAATCGATCGGTGATAACCTTGAAAAGCAGTCTTGAAATGTTAATAAAACATTACGCTTTCACAATTTACGTGATACAGGGTACACGTATTTTACCTCATACTGACGAAAAACACGAACCAGGAAACTCAGTGGGCGAAAACCTGCAATAAATGTCACTATATAGAAATTAACATTTTCCCGGTTGCGGAATGAAGCATTTTTATTGTGAAAACGTCCCGTCCCAAGCAGGATCCCGATTGTTAAACCGGGATTTCACCTTGCCGGGACGGAACGAAAAGCGTCTCGCTTCCATGTAAACAGAATGCAATAAATATGAGGGAACTATACACATGCCGGAATCCCAATCATCGTCGCACCCTGGAAAACATCTCATCCCGCATTTCATATATACAGGGGCCTTTAAAGAATACACTTGCCATTTCGTTATGTATCCCCACCCCCATGTACCTTTTTGAATCAGTGATTTCCTCTCAAGTGCCTTAAGTATACATCTCCCTTCTTGAGGGCTGCACGATGTTCTCCCGGCTTCTTTCGAAGACCAAAACAGCTCGAGGATATCTGACGCTACATTTATATCTTCTGGGAATATACCAAAATCAAGGAATTTCTCTCGTTCGTTTTTCTCCAAACGTTGAAAGCTAGCATCAATGGCTGCTAAGATGTTATCGTAAGGATACGTCACATTGGGAAACTGTGAATGTAATTGTTCCAAGCCAGGCTTTTGAAAGTACCCCAATACATCTTGCCAGTCTTGTTGTAAGCGAGTGTCGATTAAATTTGAGCCCACTAGCGACAGAGCCAGCGGTAGTCCTCGGCACTGCTTTAACAGTTCTTCGACAATCTGGTGCATTTTTGGACCAAACGTAGACAATTCGTCTGGTTCGACCCCAGCACTTTGATACAAGAGCGCTCGGGATTTATCCTCAGCCATAAATTGGAGTTCGTATACAAAACCTTTTGAGCCACGAACAACTTTAGCATCTCTAGTAGTTATTAATAATTGGCATTTCCCAGATAGGTGATCAAACACAGCAACGTCGTCAACACTCCAAACATCATCAAGGACGACTAAACAATCTTTATCACTCTGCAATACATTGCAAACAAGCTATGAAAACATATCTGCTGACAATCTCTTGTTCGGGATAATTTAATCAGGTCAAACGAGGATGAGAGTTGACGAGAGTTGCAACTCTTGCTTGCATATTACTGCAACTCTCATCGACTCTCATAAAATCTCAACAACTTTAAGCTAGTTGAAATTTTGATGAGAGTTTTTGCTACAATTGGTCATATCCAGTCAACTCTCATCAATTCTCATGTAACTCCTATTGTCGTTTGTCCGGAACAAGAGAGTTTAGAAAATTCTCACACAAGCTCTCGCATGCCAATTCTCATTAACTATCATCCTTGGTTGACCAAGGCTTTCGGGACAAGACAATGCACAAGAAAATGAATATCATATGCCATTTTGTTTTACAGCATAAGACAATAATAGCTGTATACAGGCATGAGTGCAGTTGTCTATCTTATGCAACACGGACGTGAATGCCAAAATGCTGTACATAGTTTGGGATTCGTCTTGATGAAAATGTTTGTGTGAAAATGTTTCTTCAAATTATCTTAAATATATTAATTTTATTATATAGTAGAGAGTGAGATACTGAAAATACTCAGTGAAATATTTCCATATGTTCACTAGTGAAGATATCGGTCACGTGATTTTTAGTATTTATACAATTTTTTGCTTGGGACTATATAATAAAAAGAACATTAAACTGTGGCTTGAAGATATGACTTTTATCTTCTCCTGTTAAAAACAATATTTTACTCACTCGCTGCGCTCGTTCGTAAAATATTGGTTTCACCACTCGAAGATAAAAGTCATACCTTCGCGCCGCCGTGTATAATATCCTCTATATATTTGGTGAGAAAAAAGACTTACAGCTTACGTGAATCACCAGAATTTCTTCGCGGTCATGATTTATTTTGCTCTCCCCCACAATCATTGAAGATGATGTCACACAAAGCAATTTTCAACGGCGATTCTTACGGCAATGCGTTGCCGAATCAATCAAATTCCGTATAACGTATTACATATTGTTATTGTAAATCGTTCTGTTTCACATCGCCTTAATGAGAATTACAGATAGCATTAAATGCATACGTACCGTATTAGCTTTTATCCAGGCTTGCGCGGCATGGATATCACTAAACGATATAGTTCCACCAAGAACTTTAATGAGGATGTTAATCAATCCTAAGCAGTCAGGGGTTTCACCAATGTCAAGCCAGATAACCTGACGAGAACCTGAAGCAGCCCAAGCAACAGCCAGGGCTAAGACGGTCTTACCCAGGCCGCCCATTCCACGGATACCAAAAATGTCGCCGCTTTGACTCCCGATCACACCAACTTTACTATTGCCCGGTATAAGTAACCCCAATATGTCGTTCACTTCTGATGGTCGTTCCACCATATCACGTGGTAGACTGCGCAATCCATACGGAACTAAGATATAAAATGGGAGAGTTCAGGATGAATTAAACTGAGCCAACTGTACATTTACTGATTAACTCTATCAGTTCTAAACAGTTTTCGCCAGACGTACAGTAAGGGCCAGTCAGTTTTTATGCAGGGTTACTACAGAAAGAAACCTAAACGAAAATAACTTTATTTATATACTTAATATAGTTCTATATATCAGTTCTAATCTGCTCTCTTTGGACGTCCAATAAAGGCCATTCGTATCTGCTCAGTGCTACTAATACTTACTACAGAAAGACAATTGAATTAAAATATTGGTTTATTGGTTTTGGATTGCCCTTTCACTTCTAAAATATTCTCTTCTGGTATCTCTATCACCAAATTATTCTGAAAAGTCATTTTTGAGTGCATTTTAAAAATGGCTTGCGGACAAAAATGTCAGCTTTAAAACGAAAATTTGAATTCACATCGTCCAAATTTGAAAGGTGTTTTATGAACTACCAACGTACCAGGCAATTTGATGTACATTACGTCCAACGCGCGACGTCAACAAATTGGATATTTTTGTCATAGTACAGCCCCGTAGCAAGGCACGTATAAGGAAATAAGCACCTCAAATAAGCAAGCACTTTGGTGTTATATATAGTTCAGCGGTTGAACTGAGCGAACGCGCAGGGGTGCTTGGGGAGAACGAGGCGAAGGACGCTGCTAACACTAGTCTTGTTCTCCCCAAGCACCCCTGCGCGCTCGCTCAACTTAACCGCTGAACTAAACACGACGAACTATAGCGCAAACTTTTCGCCCTGTAAAAAATCACTTCACAAGGATTCAGACTATCCATCACAAATTTGACAGAGTCAGACCGTTAATTGAAAAGGAGGTCAAAATGTTCGGCAAAATTTGATCAACATATCAGGACACCCCTCCCCCAATGTTAATAACTTTGTGACGTCCCTGCTTTGACATTTCATAGGCATTTCATAGTAAGGCAGTGGCGTGCACTTCGCGAAATTTCATGCAATACATAGTGTCATTTATAACCTACCAACGCTATCATGGTTGCAAATTATTATTACAGCTTTGTCATCTATGATTCAAAGGCTTTCATAAATTATTGGGGAATTCGAAGGTGGTTGCCTGACACATTACATGTACATCCCCTAGTATCCGCCACTGCAGCAAGGATCATCCTTCAGCAAGAATCATCCTAGACTAAACTAGCTTTATATGTGCTAGATTATAGTGCTCTATCAGTTCTAGACTGTGCTCTCTATTATCAGTGTCAGAGTTACAAGTTAGCTAACACAGTAAACTTATTGTCTTGAGATGTCTGCGGAAGAGTCATTTCTTGTTTGTCAAGTGTTTCTACACAAGGAAAGTGCAAATCTAAACTACAACATCTTGACACTGGATTGCTCTATCAATTTAAACTGTTTTCCCTGCAGATTGAAAAACAACGGCTTTTGTTGTTAAACTCCCATGTGTTGAAGCAGATAATTTCGTGAACAAAATACCATGATCAAGTTTGTATTATTGTTTGAAAGATATCCGACGGGCAAACGTCTCGATAGGCAAAATCGTGTAAAATACCACAACTTTCTGTACGCAAATATTCTCTCATCATTTCAATAAAACAGAGTTCGGTTTAAATCATCTGATAATTTTACTAGAAATTTTCTAAATTATGCGCTGTTCCGACACAATGGATATGAGAAAATTTAAAATTATATCAAAATCTATTTGCTCGAAAATTCCGGTGATCACTGACAAACTAACCGACTGACTTCATGACTGACCAGCTGACTACCCACTGATGGTCGAACTGACCAATAGACGAACTGATTTACTCACTGAGCGATCAACTGATTAACCGACTGACTGCCTAATTCACCAACTGCCTGAATACTTGAATGGTTGCCTGACCGATCCAAATACTTATAAGTTATCCATGCTGCCCAAGGTGGTGTTGTAGTAATAGTGAGCTTAAGCAAGTAACGTTTTTGACAACACGAACTGCATGAGTAACGTCAGAAGACTGGGTCAAGGGTGTGATTGGTGAAAAACGTCAACTTTACTTCCGGTCGACGTCCGCGTTGTCAAAAACGTCACTCGCTTAAGCTTACTAATAACTTCTTATTAACCAAACCATTTTATTAACCATTTCACCGGAAGTGATGCTTGCCATATAATAATTAACAAATATAAAACATTTTCCGTGTTGATATACAGTTATACCAACACGAGTGGAAATTGGGAAAACAAGAAATTGCGTGGAAACACGACACCCGAAGATGGCGGAGTGTTGATATAACTATATATCAATACAGAAAAAATGTTTTATATTTGTTTTATAATATAGCACAAAGAAACATAAAGAAATTTTCCGACGTTTCTGTGTTGACATTGAGTTATATCAACACGGCTCTTAGCCAATCAGCGTTGAAAATTTATAAATGCTACATTATAAAATACTTTATAAATATTTCATGTTTTAGTGTGAACAAATAAATACCTTTTTTAACTGCAAACTCTGAATAATTTTCTTTTTGCTTATCATAATCTCCTGTTTTTAACTTTTCGTTAAGATGTTCAAGTTCGTTCGAATGACATTCAATTTTCTCCTTCTGACGTTTAAGTTCCTCCGAGTTCTCGGCTGCATTCTTCTCAACCTCTTCAATTTTGCGGAGTTTTGATTCTATATTATTAAGTTTCTCATTCACTGTATTTATCTGCAAGAGATACAAGTAATGTAACATTTAATAAATTAATTATAAATATTTATTATATGGGAAATGCAGCATATGAGAAATGCAGCACTTTGATTGGCTCCTCAGTGGTCCGAAACCAGCAGTATATATCGCGCTAGGTTGGACATGCAGGCATCAGCAAAAGCATAACACCTTTCAGCGGCGCCAGGGCACCAGAGCAACAGTAACAAAGTGGCGGAGTTGAGGTATTTAAGCAAATTTTACACATTCCGGACGCCTCCATCAACCTGTCGACACTTTCACTGGGTAGGATTAGAAGCCTTTTTTGTTCACGGAGGGGCTCCCGAGCACAAGCTTACGCCACTGACCGCAAGCGAACAAAAATTTAAATAACTCTTTTCCGAGTCAAAAATCTAAGATCTATTTGACCATAGAAGCTTTTTTTATGTGAGATAACATACTCCTTTACTTTGGTTAATATTAAAACGTTGTCTACAATTACATGTTATAAGACGTTCTTTAACACATTTAAAATATTATTTTAGAATGATACTGGCTTCCAGCCATTCAACGGCTTTCTCGCTTAACTAAAATAAACATGTACAAAAACTGCTTTATTTCAGAATTTTGTGATATTAAAAACAGACAATATGTTCTTATCGTTGTATATTAGTCAATAAATGTTCACAGAAATTTTAGATCCTGCTTTAATAGTGTGAAATAGTGTCTAACTGAATGCTCTTACTATTTTTAATAACCTATTGAATGAACTTGTTCGGTCTGGACAGTAGGATATTATTCTCTTTTTCGTAAGGACATTCACTGATAGTGTCCTGTCCAGGACTGTCAGTATAAAGTTAATAACACATATAAATAGCTTTCACGAGCTGTCTACTCCAAACATGTCGTGATGATGTCACTGTGTAGGTTGAAATTAAGGATTTTACAATTTGATAAATTCTGTGAAAACTTGGACTTCATGGAGGTATGGCGGGGGGGGGGGCTATAACTTTCACCTAATATACAGTAAATACACTACAATGTTGAAAACCAGATGTGCCAGTACAGACAGCATATATATGCAGTGCCATCAGAAGCAAATTGTTTAATTTAAACATCCAATATTTTCCAATGTACTTTATAACTTTCTAAATCTTCATTTCCTACGTTCAACAACGTTCAACAATAGCGTTGTCCGCAGTAGCTAAAAATAGATTCTCCAAGTGAAGACCCCCCACGAGACTCAGACAAACAAACTAACATTTTGTATAGAATTGTACTAGCAGCGAACATAAATTGGTCTAAATTGACGTTTTTATTTATTTTATCTGTACTAAAACGAATTCAAATTTATCCCAAATTACAAACATGGTTAATGCTAAGCACTGTTGCTGGGGAACATGTCCAAGTGATTCGAGATACTAAGAAAAACTGCCGAAACAGGGAATTGAAAAGTCGGACGGGACGGGAATGTCTGCAGTACCAATGTGTTGATTGTTATATTATTGACTGCGGACTGTGCTGGTTTTTCTCCAAGAACTTTCGCAGCTAACCATTTTCCCCCATCAATACATCCGGCGAACGATGCTTTCCCGAACTATTAAAAGCAATCGCTAACTCGCTGAAGAAGAACTTGGCGTTTTATACCGCTTTGCTATAAGCCGGCCTCTACATTTTAACCTCTGCTTGAGTTTAATCGACAGTATAAGCAGATGGATCATGCTCAAAATATGAGTCTGGGTCTGGGACGCCATCGTTTTCAGTGAGAGCGTCTGTTGTTAAATTTATGACTGAGAGAAGCAATAGTTTACCAGACAGTGTTAGGCTATTAATTAACACAGTGTTAAAGGGCGGTTCTCTATTTTACAAAACTGAATATTTAAAAATAGATAAATAAAAATATTGTTTTTATAATAACATATTTTTTTTGTATTGTCAAAACAAAATAGTTTTACTGGTCAACGGAAGATTTTATATTTGAGATTTTATATAGTTTGTAGTTTATCTTTGACATTTTTTAAAAAAGTTTAAATTTGAAAGTATTAGTTTTAATTACATTCCTAATAAATCCGTATTTTATAAGTTGAAGTGTAGTCAATAGATTATAGTAAACAATCCTAGCTTCTTTGGCTTTGGACTTTGCTATTAATAAAAGAGATGTCTAAAGTAATAAAATAATGCACACTAAAGCGAGTATTAAAATATAAGTTAGTATAAACATGAAATCAACAACATTAAATAGAGAACTTTAGAACTGATTCGCTAGGGCTACGAATCAAATCTGGTACGACTACGAGATTTTTTCGGTTAAATATCTGCTACTACAGACTTTCTATCGCCCTTTCTTTTGCATACCCTTTCTTTATGGCCTCTTTATAGCAACAGTTACGCCAAACCAACGTACTATTATAATACAGTAGACACCGCCTATGATAGAAACGACATGACAGTCGATACTAAAGTGACGAAAAAGTGTATATTTCTACTTCCAAAGCAAAAATATTTTGCACTGGCACTTCAGGTAAAGCGAAAAGTACAAGGTGTGTATGATATCGCACAAATAAACCGTAAACAAACATCAAACTATCAAACTAACTCACAGGAAGCTCTTAATCATAATACTATTTATATTAAATGTTGCCAATGTTTGTCTGAGTCTTCGCGGGGGGTCGAATTTTCGTGACGTCAATTGCGGACAACGCTATTTAGAATGATTTAATCATCATTCATTCATCGCTAAGAAACGGGGTTTTTTTCATATCATATTTTACTACTTATTCAAAGATTGTTAGGCCAAGAAAAAAGTATCCCAAACCTCTGCATCAGATTCATGTTTCAAAGATGTACGAAGTTCTGTAACCAAGTCCGTAATAGGCTGTCCAAACCACAACCCCAGATCAGCTGAAATTAATAATAAATAATAATTAACAATTATTGGATGAGGTTTTTGTGATATGCGGAATTATCAAGGTCGAGGTAAGCGTTATCAGCCGAGCCGAAGGCGAGGCTGATAACGCTTACCGAGACCTTGATAATTTTGCATATCGCAAAAACCGAATTCAATAATTGTTTTATTATACATTTGAAAAATAATAAACACAGTATTTTAATATTTTAATTTTTTTGCGATATGCAAAATTATCAAGGTCTCGGTAAGCGTTATATTCAATATGATTTCTGGCAAAGCTGTTCAAGTAAAACGTTTCTATAAAGAAGTCTCCGGAAGTCCAACAGTTAAATTAATTACAAATATAGAAGAAACATATATTATCGTTAAGATGTTGTAACGTATTAAAATATTTACTTGTTAAAGTAAACATTACAATTATGAAATGTACATTCATTTGAAAATTGAAATGTACACTCATTTGAAATGTACACTCATTCAACCTCACGCAACCTACACAAAATTCAGTTATCTGCTAGCAGATAACTGAGTTATCTGCTAGCAGATAACTGAATTTTGTGTAGGTTGCGTGATTGCGCGATTTAACTGTAAGCTCTTAGCCAATCAAATTGCTTTTACCAACTACAATGTATAATAATTAACAATTATTGGATGAGGTTTTTGTGATATGCGGAATTATCAAGGTCGAGGTAAGCGTTATCAGTCGAGCCGAAGACCAGGCTGATAACGCTTACCGAGACCTTGTTAATTTTGCATATTGCAAAAACCGAATTCAATCATTGTTTTATTATACATTTGTTTGTGTTAAATAGATACCGCTTGCTAATCATCGCAGGCTCATTTGCAGATAACTCAGTTACCTGCTAGCAGATTACTAAATTTTCTGTAGGTTGCGTGATTGCGCGATTTATTGTAAGCTCTTAGCCAATCAAATTGCTTTCACCAACTACAATGTATAATAATAACGATTTATTGGCAATATGTAATTTCAAAAATGTACAGTATGTCAGCATATCAGTTAACCTAGCATAGGTTAGGTACATGGCTCACTCTCTGCAGTTGCCAATTTGAAAGTTTCATTAATTAGCTTCCGCACCGCATTGTGAATAAAATTTAATTTTTATCATGAAATTGTTTTTGACGGTTTGATTTCTGAAATGGTTCCTATAAAGAAAACCGAAACGTCAAAAACGTATTCTATAAACTTTAATAAAATCGGGATTAACATAAACAAATAAATTAGAGAAAAATGTTTTGTTGATATTTTTAAACTGTGAGATTATGGACAAATTCGTTCACGCCTGGCAAAAAGTAGTCCAAAATCGCCAGAGGTGTTATAACTTTTTTAATTTTCATCCTGATTGCATGAAATTTTCCATAAACATAGAACATATCATTCTAACAAATCGTGTAGTTTTTGTTTTTGGATTTTTTATTTTTTGGCGGGAAAATGACGTCACAAACTTGGCGCCAAAAATTTAAAAATTAGGAATGACTAATATTATTTATTTATTTGGAAGACCATGCTGCAGCAATCTTGAAACTGAAGTCTGTTTCGAAATACGACCATTCGCTGCAAAGATAGACTGGTTCAAAGTTCGAAAAATCGGCCATCTTGTTACTAAAAATAGAACAAACGGAAAAAATTGTTTTGTTGATATTTTTAAACAGAAAGATTATGGACAAATTAGCTCATAATAAATTTAAAAGACAAACAGTAACATATATTATGAAACTGTGGGGTCTGTAGTGTTGGCTTCAGCGATGAATGCACAATTTTGTGGAAGATGTCTTGACAGCCATTCTAAACAGAAAAATATGTACTTCCCGACTTTTCATGCAAAGGCCCTTTGTCTCGAAATTCAATTTCCAACCCGCGAACGGGTGCATTCGGCCTTACGAAATTAAGATATTCATTAGTTAGGAGAGTCTCCTAAGGCCCGTTTTAAACGTCGCGCTTCTCATGTGCCGAAAGCATTAAAAACAATAGATAATCAACTGAAATGCTTGATCAATGATCATCTATTGTTTTTAATGCGTTCGGCACATGAGAAATGCGATGTCTGAAACAGCCCTAATTCAAAATGCAAATATACGTAAGTTATGAATTTTAGCCAGTTGACAATTAATTTCTCGATAATTATATTAAAATAATATAAGTGATATGTGGCAAGTTACTGTATATACCTAATAAAACACTAGGCTGCGGTGTGTAGGTGATACAACTCCCTGAAAAAGATAAACCTTCGCTTGAAACTTCGACGTTCTGTTTATATTTTTTGGGTAGTTGTACAAGTCGCCACACACCGTGGCCGTTTGTTGTTGTCTCTACCTACACTGGCAACAACCGTTCGAGATTGTATGGAATTACACTACCCAGGTCTTGCAGTATGACGTATCATCAAAAATAATCTGCCATTTTGGGTGGCAAAAATCTTTTATTTCAATGGACTACTAGTAACACAGCTGTGAACCATTATAAATAACTCTTTATGATGCTCAAACAATTGAAATAAAAGCAACAGCCTAGCCGGAGTCAGTGCCACAGTCTTAGTTTGACGCCATGTTTGCTTTTAATGCGCCCTTCCGGAAAGTGCGTCATTTTGGCTATAGAGCCTCGTTTTCGTGCACGCGACATCAGTTTCAGGCTCAACAATATTGTTCAATATTGTTGACAAGTGTGAACAATGCCCACCGTACAACATTGTTCAATCCTGTTAAACAGCAGGCTCATAATTTTTACGCGTATAGTGAAGTAATTTTATTTAACGCGCACGCATCCATGACAAGAGAAATTAATTTGCACAATAAAGAGAGCACGCCTCCTTCTATATAGTGGCTCTCCTTCCTGATCTTATAGCACCTTGCTTCTCAATTGACTGTCTTATTTTCCAAGAGAGCATATGACTTTCAATCGCAATTTGGTATATAAAAGGGCATGTGTTTCAAGGCCGCTCAAAAGGGGGGGGGGGCAAAGGGGGAAATTCGCCCCAGGCTCAAAAGAACCCCCAAAAGAAAAATTTAGGGAGTGGAAGGAACCCCCAAAAACTCCCAAAAGGGTTTGCCTGGGCCCCAAAAAAGCTCTCGGCGGGCCTTTGTGTGAATTGAACAAGTCACATATTATTAGTATTGGTGAAAATCCGGGCTTACGGATCGAAAGCTGTGCAGTAATAAATTTACGTGGTGTTTCCACAAATAAAAAGTATTATATGTTTTATCGCCATGCAAACCTACAAAGAACTGATGTTTAATTTGCCACCCAAAATGGCGGAATTCAACAAATACGTGTTGTGACGTCACTTACAAGAGCCCAATGGTCTCCTAATTAGTTAGTATTTGTTAAATACACCCTCTTCACACTTAGTATTTATTTTTTATACAAAATTCAACAACCACATGTAGCAGGCAGATGTTACGAAAATATATTAATTGAATTAACGCGACCCACAAAACACCAAAAACGCTATTTGTAGACATGATTTAGCTTCTGCCCCCTAAGCCCATCTTGGCTAATTTAACATTATATTATAAATAACTCAATTGATACCTTTTTTCTCCCAGCCATCTAGATCATCACACACGGCTTTTTCATCAGCTGTTGGTAAATTACTTGTTTTTATTAATGATATTAAGGCTTTGATTGATGCAGTGAATACTGCTTGGGTCCATTCTGAAAAGTTGCAATGGGCCCACTTGTTTCTGACGTCATTCCTTACTGTCTCGGCATCAGCTGCAGCGGAAGAAAATGGCTTTGCATTACACATAACACCCAAAATTGCCGACATATCCATTGTTTCATCAAAACCAGTAAACTTTGCCATGTTAGGTTGCAAAAACAACTTTGCTAAAGACAAAGAATCTTTCACTGCAAAATCATAAGCACCACGCGATTTTTTCTCATTGTTGTTGATGCTTTTATAATTTGGTGGAAACTTTGAGGGCGGTAGTGTCTTCTTATAGTTTCGGATGTCTTGCTTATCAATATCAACCGGAGGACGACACAAATCAATATACCACTTTTGTAGTTTACTTTTAAGGTCTTTTCGCAACGCAGGTGCAATAACTTTGTTGAGACATACACCAATAACAACCCATTTTGTTTCTTCCTCTGATATAGTACCAGTACTTGCTGCTGGACTTGCCATTACTTATCTATAAATTAAATTAAATGTACATGAAAATTGGTGTTTGACTGCAAACGCATTTCCGCTGCAATAAGTACTGGCAAAATGATCAGTTTCTGACATCCCGACGTTTCAAAAATTTTCTGAATAGCAGTTCCCATGAAAAATAATAGACGGAAGGTCAGTTGTAAAGTTTTCATATTAATTAGTAACCATGCACTATTGCCAAAGACTAGAGGCTCCCTTGGCACTTGAAAAGTAAAATCATCTGCTGACAGACATTATAGGGGGCGAAGGGGGACAGATCTGCCACACCTGTTTGAGATAATGCGTAAACCTCACAGCTTGGCGAGTTACTGTCATATTTGATTGAAAAATGCGGTTCTTATCTTAATTGTTATAATATGTGACCAAAGCTCCCCACAACTCTCAAACAGAATTTCAAAGATGTTTGACATTCCAACAGAATCATTGATTAAATTAGGCTAAACTACGCTGGAGTGCTGTAAAATGTCTTTCACAAAACGTAAAAGGCAAGATCCACACAATCTCCTGACTATCGAATTAAGATATGGGAAAAAGCACAAACAAAAGACAATTTTAAACATGCTTGAAGGTCGACTGGACAAAAATTTCAATATGCGACTTTCACGCCAAATACGTGACACCTATTGATAGTTAATTACAACTGTGTAACAATGCTGTAACAGTAATTTTACAGCCAATATAGCCACTGCAAATTTGCATAAAATATAAGGCAAACAGGTTTCAGGAATCAGGATCTGCAGCAGCAAAATGGTGGTAATTAATGTTATATGTTATATTTCCCTATAGGAAGATGAGAACTGATGCCTAAAGCAAACTTGACAGCACTTCACATGTGCCTATGCCTTAAAAGGCCCAGTTACAAGTTACAAAAATATGCAACCCTGGGGCCCGAGTCTAACTTGATTTGAGCTGTCAGTCCGCTTAGCCGGTATAATAATTATATATTGTTCTTCACTCTTGTGATACTAAGAGTTAAGAAAGCACCAAGTAGTGTCAATTGTGCAATTGTGATAAACACATTTGTTTGGTTCCTACTATTGCATTTAAAATCGATAGCACTGCACTATATACATTATTTGTTTAACCACTGAAGCCCATATTGGGGCCAGGGACTGGATCGATGTTTTAAGGTCGTCACGGCATGGCGGGACCTGGGTCGAAATTTTCTGGTTGAAACCTTTGCTTGTCTTACAATGGCGTAGGAGTGTGGGAGGGGACGAGAAATGTAGGGAGGAAATTAAGGGTAAGGGAGATTAAGAGAGACTACCAATTTTCCCCCTCACATCTTGGAAGCCTGATCACCCAACAGACTGGGATCTCCGTGTTTTATATATATATAGGCGACGAAGCGATGGCCAATATATACCGCACTAACAAAGAGCTGAAGCTAAGGCAGACAACATATAACTTTGTCAATACAAAAAAACAAACCCTTTTGACTCCAGAGTTTTCCTTGTGCGCGCAATGTTCGAAACTATTCCTCCTAAGGTCTCTGAGCGCATGAAATCAATGCGATCCCGTACTACAGTTTACGTCAAAGAAGCATACTACAAAAGTTGATTCCATGCATTAAGTTTCTTTTTCGTACACGTTCAGCAAAAAAATAGAAACATTTGCTCGTTATCTACGAGCTTTAAACACACACGTGCAGAGCCCGCTAAACTAGTTATTATAGCAGGTTATTTTTTATGTAATAAACTATATATTGTTCGGATTATAAAGCCAATAATACATATTCAGCTTACAATATATAAGGTTGCCACGAAACTACAAGGCACGATTCCGCGGACAAAACAACAAAATTAGTGGCCAATTACTAACAAATAATATACCCTTGTCAATACAAGAAACATAACCTTTCGACGCCTGAGTTGGTCTAAAACACTTAATAATCTAAACTATTTCTCTTAGGGTCACAGAGTGACGTTAATATTAGGGGCGGCGAAACAAGGGAGGTAGGGGGCTATATAGACCTCCATGCAGGAGTGAAAGTGGATACTAAACATCCCCCCCTCCAAAAAAAAAACACGATCAGAGTAAGACAGTAATATGAAGATTCTTGATCGCTGCTTACTGAAAAAGGCAAAGTGAACAAAATTACGAACATCGTGGACAATTAAACATTTGTTAAGTGAATTTAAACACGGGGCTTCAGCACCCATAAAATGTTCACAGGAGGCCTACGCCAGCCTCAAAATACAGTACACGAAGTTGTATATATATTGGTTAAAAAGCATGAGCTTTTCCCATCCCCACACTTATACTAATTTGCTGGCGATTGTAGTCCTCACCAAGTCATACAAACTGACCAAATTCGCCATTTTTGAGGTACTTTTTTGAAAATGACGTGAAAAATCTAAGCGATGTGAAAACATTTTTTTCAAATGTTTAAATGTAAATTAACTTAAAATGAGTATACTCACAATTATAATTATACAAATCGCTTATTCACAGCGTAAAATCTCAGATTTGAAAAAGGCAATACCCTAAAAATGGCGGTGTGAGAAAGGCTAATTATGAAGCAATTTTATGCCGCATTTCTATCGTCCAATATTTTCAATTCGGCGCCAAAAAATAGAAAATACAGGAAACGGCATTTCCGTGCCCAATTTTTCGATTTTTTCTGCGGTAGCATGCGCCAGAACCTCCCTATATTAGAACGCCTGATCACAGGTTACCCAGCCTTCCTAGCTTTGTCTTCTTTGTCCAAAACTCGATATTTACATATAAATATGTTGCCGATATGTAAAATGAAACCTTAGTAAGCAGTTAAGTTCTCTGAAGGTTTTCATGGCGAATATAATATTTGTTTCGGTTTGTGATAAAATATCGACAGATCTTTGCCAAAACTTTCACTCCAGCGGAAATTCCATACAAATGTATAGTAAAAACAAAATCTTCAAAACGCCGTAACTCGCGCCCTACATGTCCAAACATGATCATGACATTTTCGGTATACACAAATTTGGGCGTGCAGATTTCAATTCTGGGATCCATTTCTGCCAAATATGAAGATGAAAAATCCATAACGCGAACTTGGATCGAAGAATTTAGCATATTGTTAGTATTGATGAATAAAGTCCAGGTTTGCGGATAAATTAAAAAAAAGAAAGAAATATTCACAGTAACAAGCACACACGTGCGGGTGTCTAGTAATCCAAAAAAATTCGACCTTGTCTGTAACGACTCCATTGATCATAGCCTATCAAGATACGATGGTCTGGAAACTAATACACATAAGTCATTGTGTAATGTTTTTGTCTGAGTTTAATCAATTTATGTTCATTTCTGTACGGTCACGGTGATTGATCTCATTGTATTTTCGTAAAATGAGGTAATAGTCCAATAAGGATAGCTGAGATGAAATGTGCAATCACAATGAATAATATGTGAAGTTGAGAAAAAGGATTTGTGCACGGTGAGGTACAGTTCAAACAAAGTCCTTCTATTTTGTATCTTTGAAGTTTGCCGAGCTTCCAGACCATCATATCTTGACAGACTATACATTGATTAAGGTGAAATTTTGCTCTTGAAGTTTAGCCCATATCTTTTGCTTTATCTATCCGTCAGATTTCTGCAACTGTGTTTTCTTGTCTTAAATTTTCAATCGCTGTATGTACATGTACCTACGCATTCGAGTGAATATTTTTCCTATTTTAATTATTGTTTAAAGATTATGTCAATCATCGTATTGGCTGTCTGCTCATTATTTCGAACAAGTTATAGGTATATGCACGCCTATTATCATTAGAGATTCATTTATTTCCTCCTTTACAGTGAATTTTGTCTGATTCATCATCACCACGTTACATCTATGATTATGCACTCTTGAAACTATATAAAAGCCAGTGCTTGTCATTAATCCCAACTAGCTTTTATGATCATTTACAACATTCTTCTCAGGATTGAAAAAAAATAACAGTTAATTTTACCGAATAAATATTTTGAGGTCATATTTAAGTTTACAAACTTCTTTGTAGATAGTCTACAGTCCCCTTTATAATACAATTGATAGTATGTCGCTGTAAAAATGTCAGAGCAAGAAAAATTTTCATGGTAGTAACCGAAAAGCATTCAACGTTTGCCGTGGTCATTCATCCGATACCAGATCCCCATGTTTAACTAGTGTGATTCGATCAAGACAATATTACTCATACGTACATACAGCATCTAATCGGCAGACACAAAAAAATTCTTTCAAAATACAGGTAGGTAAAGACTGTCAAATAAGGTTTGCTCAAAAGAGTGAAATCGAAGGGGAGTGTTTTATAACATTAACTAATTAACTTTTAATTTTTTTCGTATATCTTGAACCATTATAAGTTTAAATGTCGAACTATACAGTATATTGGTTGGATAGTCCAGGTGTCAATCCGAAAAATAATTTAAATTTGGGGGTCACAAAAGCGCCAGTTTCTGCACTTATTGGCCGTTTTGACCAATAATGTGAGCCATTTAATTCATTCAGTTACTTCCAGTTTAGCACATATTAAATTTTTGGGGGAAAGCATTTCAAGGCAAAGAGGATTTGGCTTGCAATCCACAGACACATTGGTAGCAATTATGTACACTATAACAATAATAATGCATGAGTCAATGTTAATTAACCCTTACTCTCCCAATAGCAGGGTATTTTATAAGATTTTATGTCCAAGGCCCTGGGGACATTTGCAGGGATTTGTTTGGCAGGCGACCCCATGGGTAGGGGCATTTGTATGCTGTCTGCAATACTTATGATTAGCAGTCATACACAACCAAAACCGTTGTCAATGACCTGCTTATATCTTCGGATTCAAGCGAAAATACTTGTATCTAGAGAAGACTTTAAACATGCATAAAATATGTTCTGGTCTATAGGGAAGACTATAAACATGCATAAAATATGTTCTGATCAAGCGATCATCTAAGTCATTGAATACCAAATTACCGTTTTATAATTATATTATTATGCAAGCAATTTTAAAGAAAGTGGACATTCATGCAAACGCATGGTCTCTATTAAAAGTTATCTATTTTATAATTAGGTAGGAACGGGCTATTAGTTAAGTTTTGACTGAAAGTCAATCCCCTGGTATGCGTCTTTTGTGTGTATTTGGAGATTGGCAAAAACAAACCCCACCATTTCCAGGGGTGGGGCAGCGGGGGCTAAAATTGAGTCATGCAACAATTGTTATTATTCAATAGTTTGTTGAAGGAGATAACTATCCAAAAAATACAAGAAACTCAAAATAAATGCCCTTGTTGACACACTATTGTACCAATTCCATACGAAGAACCTTCACTCAACATATTGAAGTTCTAAGTCACATATTTTCAGGTAGTTAAATCCAACTATCTTGGCAATACTATTTATCACTACCTTCACTGAAACCCGGAAAAAGGTTACATGATTATATTGATCACTATTACCTTCAGAAGTACCTTTTGAGTATTTCACAAATTCCATTGCTAATCACTATCATGCAGGACTAATGGATACTATTTTTGCATTGCTACACAAGTATATGGTCTCCGAAAAAGGAGGACCCAGCTTACTGACGCCAGATAGTATTTGTCAGCGTCAAGCAAGTTAATTGCAAGCTCGAAAATGAATATTAATTAGAGGGTAGTGTAATAAGATAAAGTAATTAGATAGTCTAGTCAAAATATGAAATAATCACTTCCACCAAAAACAAATTGCAAGAAACTGTTTTAAGGTAATTTCTGGTAGTATGAAGTGTGGGGAACAACATAACAAAAGTTTACCGAAATTGGTCACGTGAAAGCGTCTATTCATGACGTCATAAAAAGATGGCCGCCAATGGCCTAAAAATGTCAAATATCTACTTATGGAAACGCTGGAAATTGTAATAGATTGTGCAAATTGTCCAAAAAACTCTAATATCACAATATTAACAATATTATAGGCCTCCGAGAATGTTATGCTGCGTCATGTTATGACGTCATCAATGACGTCATGACATTTATGTTCTGTTATCTCATTTCTTTCCTCTCGTGTTGCAAGCAATAAACTAATAAGTGTTGCAGTTCAATAGGTGAAAATGTGAAATAATATAAAGGAAACAAGGTTAGCTAACTTCTTTTCTGTTTTACACCTCTACGGCTTTATTGTGGTCGTACTTCTGGCTTAGCTTTAAAGTTTAAATCATGAGATTTTTATTTTGGAAGTGCTAATTACTAATATATTTAGCGAAAAACAAAAAATACACAATAACATGTAATATATTAATAAAACTTTAGTCTTTGGCGGTTAGAAATTTAAAATGTGCACGTGTGAGGCTTTTTACTCGCTGGGGCACCTGTGCCCGGGCGAGTATAGGTTTCGGCACACATTTTTAGTGGATTTCCAATAGTGGATCGCAATTTTCTTGTATAGCCACAAAATAGAATATTAATGAGCTACCCACTTTATCCTTTTCAAAATGGCGGCCTTGGTGGAGTGAGCAAAGTGTTTCGAACAATTTCGTTAAAATTTTCAACGAATTGTACCTGTTTTCTATGGATTTAGCATTGTGTCTAACTTTGGACATTCTTGCTAGTTTAATTAATGCATTTTTCTTGGTGCACGACTCTGAAAATCCGAAATTTGGATCGTTGAATAACTTGAATTCCTGTGTACGATCATATAATATACTGAATCTGAATATAAACGAGCCAAAGACATGCACAATTTCAAGGTAAAAGGTTATAACTTAAACTACATAACGTAGTTTTAATAGATAACTACTTGATGAGAAGCATATTGGTGCCATATCAATATAAAATTTATCCAACAACAGTCTCTAAGGCCTAAATACTTATAGTTAGCTGTGAACGTAAACTGCAGTGTGAAATATGATATTGTATTTGTAATGCTTAATCTAATGGCGCAATAAGGAAAAAATACCACCGTTTGATTCAGTGTAAGAAATTGTACTTACGGATGTCAAATGTATTACTAAACAACAATATTCTAGCAATTTATGGCCTTTGAAAATCAAACGAAATTGTATTGTTGACTATTAAATCGCTCGCAGACCTCTCGCAGTATGTGTTTACTGTTGTTGACAATCACTCGACACTCGCAGTACGTTTGACTTCGTATTTGTACTGTCTAATGGCGCAATAAGGATAAAAATATCACCGTTCGATTCAACGTAAGAAATTGTACTTACGGATGTCAAATGTATTACTACACAACAGTATTCTAGCGGTTTATGGCGTTTGTCTTTGAAAGCCAAGCGAAATTGTATTGTTACCAAATCGCTCAAAATTTATATTAAACTAATTATAAAAAATGCAGTACGTTTGATCCTTGATAACTTTGGTATCGTTGGTTTTCCCTTTTTCGTCCGTACACCAGTAGATTCGTCTCACTTCTCTCTTCATTTTGATAGTATTTTGAGCCCAAAATATTATATTTCGCACGTTTTTAAGTGCAGTTTAACCCTAGCCAAAAATGATTTTGAACGTTTTTAAGCGCAGTTTAATCCTAGCCGGCGGAAACGCAGGAAGTTTTATTTGTAGACCACATGTAATAGTACTGTTTCTGATTGTATAAGTCCTGAACTGAGGTCATTATACTAACAGAAACTTCAAAACTGAGCCATCTACCTGCAATACAAGCCTTCTAATTTGAGAGCGGCAGCATGCACTCTCACCTTAATTAACAAGCAAAATCGACTGGTTTAATAATAAAGTAGGGTGCATGATTGCCATTGGGGCACAATACAAATCAGTGGGATAATAAACAATATTATAACATGGTATTCACCTAAATAAACTGCAGAGCACTGTTATATGTTGATATGGTTCAAAACAGAGTGAACAAAACTCGCGCTCAGTTTCCCGCTTAGCTTGGGACAACCTCACAACCTTAAATTTTAATTAAAATAGCTGTGTACTGCATGCATGCATGTATGTATCATACATGGTAATGTGCGTATTTGTATATAGCCCCAGCGAGTTAACGCTCTATGGAGCGTCTTGTTTGCAATATAAAACCTCATCATACTCACAGTAAATATAGGCAGGAGTACAGATTTTTTCGCCAAAGTGTAGCATTGTCAAACCGCTGCCGCTCATAAAACTTTTTTAAATGTTCAAATCAAAATAAAATTATAGTTATACAATGTCTAATAACTTGTCTATACGTTGTACAAATCGGGAACTGGAAATTCTATGGTTAAAAATATATATTTCCCGTTATTTTTGTTGTTTGTATGCTTATATCTTTGCTTTTAAAACGTTCTTAACAACATTTTTCTTGAATAATTATAAAAAGCAGGAAAAGAAAACTCTTCTGCCCATTGAACAGAAAAAGTCAAATACACTTTGCGGATCGTACTAAAAACTTTTCAGTGTCGTCTTCAAACAATGCCATTTTCTGTTGAATCGCTGCAAAGTATTGACAAGTTTTATGTTTCCCAGTAGCTTAAAAGTGGGTACTTTTAACCATGAATAATTATAATAATAATAACCATGTCTTCTTCCATGTAGAATTATTCATTTTGCATTTCAGACGCTCAAATGAGAGCAAGCCAGGATAATTGCCCTTTATGCGACAATGTATTAGGAGATGAAGAACGAGTAGTGATTGGCGACAAAGGGGCTGAAGGAGTCAACCGTGCCAGCATAGAAAGAGGTGATAGGATCGTTGTATGTTCTGGGACTGTAGTGCACAAAAATGTCGCATGAATTGCATCAATAAGAAGCAAATAGATTTGTATAAGAAGGCAAAGTTCAACAAGCCGTCCCTACCTGTCAAGCGAAGTGCACGCGCTTCTATTGGGCCTTATGACAGCAGAACGCATTGTTTATTCTGCGGAAATGAAATAGTAAAGGCATCAAGTAGTGGCATATATTCTGAAGAATACAGCTGTGTTAAAACAGATACATTTGTGGAAACAGTCTTGTCGCATTGTAAACAGCGTAACGATGATTGGGCATTTACTGCTCAAGGGAGAATAGAGTACTTTGGAAAGGATTTGCATGCAGCAGACAGTCTGTATCATCGGTCATGTGACATTCATTTTCGCACAAATAGAGGTATTCCCATGCAGCACCAAGTTGGAATTCCTGAAAAGAAAGCACGCAAGGTTGGGAGGCCAAAGGATGCTGACCAAGAGCAAGCATTTATAAGGATGTGTTCCTTTTTCGAGTAAAACGATGAAGAGCAACTGACAGTATCAGATCTTGCTGATAAAATGGGTGAATATCTGGTAGAACAAGACTCTGTTGCCTATGTAATCAATACCTGAAGTCCAAGCTGTTGAAACATTACGGTGAGTCAATATTCATAGCCGAGGGCAATGGGTTACATGACATCGTCACTTTCCGTGAGAAGACCAGCAGTATCCTAAGGGACTACTTCAGTAAACCGGAAATGGATGAAGGAGCCCGAAAGAGCGCTATTATAGAGACTTGAGCCAAACTCATCAAGAGCGACATTAAGTCAATGATTCCACTTTCAACAGAACAGTACCCAAAAGCTTCAGATGTTGAATTAAATTCCGCACCAGAGTATGTTCCACCTAGCTTACACTGCTTACTCAGGATATTCGCAGGAAAGAAGCAAGTATTGGGCAATGTATCAAACAAGCTGTACGACCTAGGGCTGTAGTAGCCCCATTACAGATTGGATTAGCAGTGCAGATGCACCACCATTTCAGGTCACGATTTATAGTAGATACTCTGGCGGCAATGGGTTTTTCTTCCTCATATTCCGAAGTTCAACGTTTTGAGGAAAGCGCGGCAGCATCTGTTGCTCCGGACGTACTAGGTGGTGACATACACGCACTAGATGCAGCTCTTTTGTTTGCAGCTGATAACGTTGAACATAACATCATCACGTTAGATGGAAAGGGAACATTTCACGGCATGGGGATGATAGCAGGCATAACCCCAGGAAGGTAGACCAGTCACACTGTTTTCAGACAGAAGATCGCGCAGTTAAAGATTGTTGAGCTAGCTCAAGTTGATATCAAAGAATATCGGTTCGCGAAATACGCCCGAAACAACATTAAATTCGATCCCATGCCTTACTTTGACGGCGATGCCAACAAGATTGATATATTGTGGGCAATGTCCTTTCGCTTCAAGAAGTCCGCGCCAGGCTGGCAGGGATTGATGCATTTGTTGCACAAAGATTGCGATCATGCAGGACAATCTTCCGTCGTCTTTCTACCAATAATTGACATGTATCCTGGAGATAGGTTGTGCATCTTCTCCACCCTCGAATACTTGTGCAATCTTGCTATTGGACACAAAACTACAGCAGTTGTTACATTCGATCAGCCACTTTATTGGAAAGCTTCCAATATCAAACATAA